TATTTTTTGCTTTTATTGTGGTAAGATGGGACATGGAGTGAAGGATTGTGAAGAGTGTAGAGAGATTGAAGAACCGGTGGTTTCCTATGGGGCATGGTTGAAGGCTTCCCCATGGAAATATAGTGTTGTTTACAAGATAGACGAAGGAGAGAAGAAGGGAGGGAGCTGTGCCAAACCCTTGTTCATTACTAAACCCAAACAAATCAATGTGAAGCATACCCCTAGCACTCAAGTTTGTGAGGTTGTAGACAGACTTGAAAAAGTAGAATTGAGTAGTAAAGGAGGAGAAAATAATATCTTACGGCCGCAACATTGTGAGCTTTTTACTTTTAGTAGTGGAGAAAACAATAAAAAAAATGATTGAGAAGAATTCAGTTGTGGACAGTAGGAGCAGTGGGAAGAAAGCTTTGGGGAAGGGGTGGAAGAGAAATCCGAGAGATGGTGGTCATAGTATGGAGAGTGATCTGAAATTAGCAGGAGAGAAAACGAGGGATCGGGAAGAGGGGGTGAGTAAGGATGATTTAATGGCAGTAGAAGGCAATGAAAGAAGCAAGAAGAGAGCTACAATTTCAAACGTTGACCATGTGGCGAGCCCCACACAATGGGCTCTCGATGGCCAATGAGTTACATCCTCTCATGGAACTGTAGAGGCCTGGGTGTAGAGAATATTTCAAACATCAATTTTGAGCCCCACTGTGATCATGCATTTAAGCATGGTGGCGTCCAAAGAGAAAGAAGCTAGAGATAAAAGAGTCACCAACAAGTTTTAGGAACTTGTAAACTGTTCACGGTGTGAAGGTTACACCCCATTCACGATCACGGAGATCGCTAACTCCATAGTGGTCCGGAACCATGACTGGATATTCGGGGATGATGGTACGAATCCAACCTAAAAGAGATTGAACCCGCCCTAAATCGGCCTCTACTTAATTCTTATGATATTCATGTGCGCTTTCCGATCAACATACATCCAACAAATTAGTCCTAAACCTGTTTAATCTACATTGGTTGATTATTAATGCACAAATAAATCTATTATTAGTGATCACTTGAATTAAAATCATATTAGCCTAAAATCAAATTATGAATTATCTTATTAAGCGTGATTTCAAGTTTAAATTCCCTTTAAACCTGCAAGAAAGGGTGTGATCAAGCAATAACAATAAATAATAGATAATCAAGCAATCTATAATTATTATTTAATTGACACAACAATCATTATAAAAAACATAATCAAAACATGATTAAAACATTATTAGCAAGATCCTAGACATGATGTTAAACGGATTAATAACAAACCCTAGCATGTCACTAATCAAGATTAAAGCTTTAGCCTAAACATGATACTAGAAACATGATAATAGAAATATTAATTAACACCCTAAACATGATCTAAAAATCATAAAGGCATCCTAACATGATACTAGAAATCATAAAAGCATCCTAACATGATACTAGAAATCACAAAAGCATCCTAACATGATACTAGGAATTAATAAAATATTCTAAGCATGATTTCTATATCAAAAGCAACGAATAAATATTAGGGAAATCAAATTACTCACTTTGATGCCTCGTATCTCTTTCTATCAAAACAATACACATGTTAGTAACTTCAAGAATGGAATAAATTAAACAAAGAAATAAAATAAGAATAATTGAAATATAGAGTTGGGACCAAACCCTCAGAACTATCAACCTTTCACATCGAGGTCGAAGGCAACTTCGAGATTGTCTTGGAGTATTCGAAGCTCGTGAAGGAGGTATGGTGTTGGGATGTGTTTAGGCTAAGCTAAGAGAGAAAGAGAGAGAGAGAGAGAGAGAGAGAGAGAGAGAGAGAGAGAGAGAGAAAAGCTTATAGCTTAAAGAGAGAATTAGGTGATGATTGTTGGTGATCAAGCTTGTTGATGATTGAAAATGGGGAAAAACGACCTCTATTTATAAGGGAAAAAGAGGGAAAAGCTTAGAAAAAGAGTCATAATCCGACTCGATGTAAAACAGATCGTATCGCGAAACGACAGTTATATCGTGACACGATACTTATATCCGTACGGAATATAGGATAGAATCCGTACGGAATCCGACTCCCAACCAAATTGGATAAACCGTGTTTCCGTACGTATTCTAATTTTATCAGAATTAAATCATGAAAAAATAAGTGTTTTATCCGATATAAATTTCTAAGTCTTTATCTTTTCAAAAACAGGATAAATTGGAAACTTCTAGAAGAATCTAAAAGCTAATAATCAATCCTAATGTATTTAGGAATTAAGTTAAGTTTAATGGACCCCCCACATGATCATTGGGTCGTAGGTAAGGTGGACCTAAGGTTTGGGCTCGGTTTAGTATTTTAGCCATAACTTATTCGTTTTAAGTTGGATTTGAACTTATAATATATCGTTGAAAACTCTCTTCAAGCCCCATCCAACTAAGCAATAATTAAACCGAATTATGGACCAAAATAATCAGGTTTGAACGCTTTTATAAATTGGACACGAAATGAATGATTTTAAAGGACACGAAATGAACGATCTTGGGAATAAGGGCATGAAATGAATGATTTTGGGTTAAAACATTTAAGGAAAGGTTAGAAATGGTCAAGGATAAAGGGAAATTCATGAGACTCTTCAATTCTTCACCTAACTCGATAATCAAAGACGTGAAAGGTACTCATCACTGGGTTTGGTTTTTGGGGAGACACAATCAGGTGTTTACACTGGGGAGCACCTCTGCATTTAGTGCTTTGAAACGTAATGTGTTTCTAGAGAGCCCCCAATTTGTATTTCTTTCAGCGACTCGGTTGAAAAAACATGAACTTGAAAAATAAAAAATAAGCTGAATTTCAATGCTGCATTTATTGTGGAGTGTGTAGGTGAAGGGAAAAGGAGGAGTGGTGGTCTTGCTTTACTGTGGAAAAATTCTTTAGATGTGAATATCCAATCTTTTTCGCAGAATCACATCGATGCTTGGATTAATTCGACTGCTTATGAGGGGTGGGGATTTACTGGATTTTTAGCCACCCCGAGGGAGAAAATAAACACAAAACAGGCCTTTTATTGAAGAGTTTGATGGACCCTAGTTGTGAGCCGTGGTTGTGTGGAGGTGACTTTAACCTCATGCTTGTTTCTTGTGAGAAGCAAGGTGGACGTGTTTTTAATAATGAGTAAGCCGATATTTTGCGTGATGCAGTGCAGTTTTGCCAATTGTTTGATATGGGTTACATTGTTCATGATTATACTTGGACCAATAATAGAGGTGCCATTGAGAATGTACAGGAAAGGTTGGATCGATACTTTGCTAATCAAGCTTGGAAAGACTCCTTCCAGGGCTCTTTTGTCACGCATTTATCCAAGAGACGTTCCGATCATCTCCCTATTTTACTATGTGTGAAGGAAGCCTTAAACACACCAAAAAAAATAAAGAAGAAAGTGAGGCTTTATCGTTTTGAAGAGATGTGGTTGAGGGATGAAAATAGTGCCGATATTGTTTCAAGTGCGTAGGATAGAGGTGGCGACATATGCTCAAAAATTGCCTTCACCTCGGCAAATTTGAGTGTTTGGAGTAGGGAGAAATTTGGAGATTTTGTGAAAGAGATGAAAGATTGTCGAGCAAAGATGGAGAGCCTTATGAGTAAGGCTCAATCGAATGAGGTTATTGCTCAAACGCAAGCGTTAGATGATCGAATGGATGAATTGGAGCGACGTGAGGAGTTGTATTGAAAGCAGAGAAGCCGCCAAGAGTGGCTAAAAAATGGGGACAAAAACACGACTTTTTTCCACACAAAGGCTAAGCAAAGAGCGGAGAGAAACAACATAAATAAAATCACAGATGCGGCTAGTAGCATTTTTTTTATGAAGACCAGATTTCGGCAGTCTTTGTTGACTACTTTACTGATCTTTTCGCCTCTAACAGCTATATTGAGGTGGAACCAGTTATTGCCAAGGTGGAGGAGAAAGTCACAGCTAGGCAACGTGCTACATCGTCTTCCCCATTCACTGCCGATGAAGTTCGGGAAGCCCTTTTCCAAATGCATCCCACAAAAATTATGGGATGTTGTTGGCGTTGATGTTGTAGAGAAAGTACTTGATATTCTTAATAATAATGGTGACATAGGCTCTATGAACCAGACTCATATTGTGCTTGTTCCGAAAAAAAAAATTGTGTAAGTCTCCTGTTGATTATAGACCTATTAGTTTGTGTAATGTGTTGTATAAAATTGTCACCAAAGTGCTTGCTAATAGATTAAAAGTAGTACTCCCCTCAGTTATTCATGAATCCTAGAATGGCTTTGTTCCGCGACGTTTGATCATAGATAATGTGTTGGTTGCATATGAGTGCTTTCATTACCTTAGGAAGAAGAAAAAAGGAAAAAAGGGGTATTTGGGATTGAAGCTTGATATGAGCAAAGCCTATGAATGTGTAGAGTGGAGTTTTTTGGAGAAAATAATGCTGAAATTGGGCTTGCCGGAAAATTATGTGACTTTGATGATGAGATGTGTTACTACAGCTTCTTTTGATGTCCTTGTGAATGGCCAATCTTCGAAATCTTTTGAGCCTAGTCAGGGGCTTAGGCAAGGTGATCCACTATCACCTTTCCTTTTTATTATGTGTGCGGAAGGTTTTTCTGCTTTGATTAGAGATGCTGAAAACAGGAGACTCATTCATGGTGTTAAAATTGGTCGGAATGTTAATCCGATATCTCATCTCTTTTTTCCGGATGATAGTCTCTTGTTTGTACGGGCTAATGAAGAGGAGGTGGAAAATGTGCTCGGAATTCTTTCAACCTATGAAGTTGCTTCTGGTCAGAAACTGAATATGGATAAATCTGAGGTATCTTTTAGCCGAAACATTGCATTAAGCAAGAACGGAAAAATATTCTTCAGATGAAGTTATCTTTTAAGGCTGTCGAGGGTCATGAAAAATATTTAGGGTTACCAACTTACATTGGTAGTTCTAAAAAACAGGTTTTCCAAAATATTCAGGATCGAATCTAGAAAAAAATGAAGGGTTGGAAAGAGAAATATTTATCTCAAGCGGGGAGGGAAGTGTTGATCAAATCGATAGCCCAAGCGATCCCTACTTACACTATGCAATGTTTCTCCGTTCTGATGAGCATTCTTGATGAGGTTGAGATGTTGTGCCGTAATGTTTTTTGGGGTCAAAAGAGGGAGGAGAGGAAGATTAATTGGGTGGCTTTGGAAAATCTATACATTCCTAAGAAACAAGGTGGACTTGGTTTCCAAAATATGAGAAGCTTCAATAGAGCTCTTCTTGCAAAACAAGCTTGGCGCATTCTCACTAAGGAGGACTCTTTAATGGAAAAAGTTCTTAAAGGCAAGTATTTCCCAAATACTTCTTTCATGGATGCAAAAATTGCCTCAAACTCGAGCTACACATGGAGTTCGATTATGAGTGCACGTGATGTGCTTTCAAAGGGTATAAGAAAGATTTTGGGGAATGGAGCTTCTATTGATATTTGGAAGGACCCCTGGGTTTCTACCCTTCCTAATTTTTATGTATTGAGCAGCTGAGGTTCAAGTGAAGATGCTCCTGCCACAATTCGTGAATTTATGGATGATAGAAACTGGAATTTACACACTCTTAATTCCAATTTCTCGCCCCTGGAAGTGAAGGAAATATGCAATATTCCAATTCCGCTCTTTGATAGTCCGAATTCCTAGACTTGGCACTGGTCAAAGGATGGAAGTTTCTCTGTTAAGTCTGCGTATAATATGCTGAGTATGGAGCAGACTCGTGCAAAAGCCACTACTTATATAGCTTCGATTGACTTTGAATGGAATAGTATTTGGAATGCTGAGCTCCCCCGAAGATTAAAAATTTCTTTTGGCGTGTTGTTAGGGGGGTTGTTGCTGCTCGTGCTACATTGCTTAGTAGGGGCATGACTATTGATCCTGCCTGTCCTATGTGTGGAGATAGGCAAGAGACCATTTTGCATATGTTGGTGATTAGTGAAGAAGCGAAGCTGATGTGGTATTTATCTCCTTTGAGACTTGATGTGTTGAAATATAATAGAAGTAATTTTGCAGAGTGGTGTGGTGGAGTGCGTGCGGTGTTCAAAGATCCTTCTTAGTGGAATATTTTTTGGAGCATATTGTGGGGAATATGGTTACGCAGGAATGATTGGTTGTATGCAGGCAAGAAGAAGGGGATGGTTGATGTTATCCATAAAGAGGTTAGTATTGTAGGCGAGTTTGAAAGTGCAAAGCTTGCAGCGGCAACCCCGTCTCTGAAGTTCTAGAATGCCAATGGAAAGCTCCCCTAACTGGTATCATTAAGGTAAACTCTGATGCTGCTATATTCGAGTCAAATATGGTGGGATTGGGGGGTGTAATGCGAGATGTTGTGGGGGATGTAGTTGCAGCCACTTGTTTGCAGGTTGCTGGGAAATATGATGTGGATGTGGTTAAAGCCTTGGAAATGAGGCATGCTTTAACGATTGCTATAGAGTCTGGTTTTTTGAAGGTGTGCCTTAAGACGGATAATCTTAAGCTCTATCATAGCTTACGTAAGAGTAAAGTGGATCTGACGGTGTTCGGCTTGATCATCAAAGATATCATCAAGCTTGCTAGCTCCTGCCATGTATGCTCCTTTGCCTTTGTGAAAAGAAATGGAAACCGAGTTGCTCATAATTTAGCAAAGCTTAGTTGTAATTTTTCTTCTCTTAGAGTTTGGTTGGAAGAGTATCCTATTGAGATATATGAGGTTGTAATGGCTGATTTAAGCCTTTCTTCTACTTAATTTTATCGCTTGGTTTCCCGTAAAAAAAAAAAAGAAAAAAAAGTGTATATAATTTATATTTGAAGGTAGTAAGTTTCAATTATTCTCACTTCTTACACTGAAGGTAATATTTTTTAGGTGACACATTGCACATTTAATTGATCCGGAGGCATCGCCCAGGCCAATAACTAATTCCCTTTCTAAAACGACAACTAATTTTACACCTAATAAAAAAAATTAATACCTCAATTATACTGAAAATTTCACCATACACCCGGGTGTACCATGAGCATGGTACACCCGGTCATAATACAAAGGTTATTAAAAAAAAGGCGAAAAGAACATTGCATATAAATTAAAGTACATAAGAAAAAAAAAATTTAAAAAAAAAAAAAAATCAAAACGATTCCCTCCTTGATTTAAGAGATTGATTTGTTATTTATATTCCTTGATTCATGAAATTGATTTATTATTTACATTTTATATATTATTAGAATACTTTTGGTGAATAGAATTTCATTTTTTTTTTGTTAAGAGAGAGAAATTAAATTCATATAGAGAGAGAAACCATGGTAAATTTTGAATTTCAAAGTGATTCAATGTTATAATAGAGTTGATTTTATCATTCCAATATAATCTCTTAATGATGTAATTGATTAATTCGTTGTTGAGAGAAAAGGTATTTTTTTTTTTAATTTTTTTTTTCAGTTTTCGTGTTATTTCCTAAGGTTGAAGATGATGTTCTTCGTATTATGATAAATGTTCTTTTACAATTTCTTGGATACATATTCTGTTTTTTATTGGAATGGAATATGTTCTTTAAATATGATCAATATGTTCTTTGTATATGAATTATATGTTCTTTATATTATAAAGAGTGTACTTTATATATGTAGATTAAAAATGTTCTTTGCTGGGTTTCAATAATACAAATCATGTTCTTTTAACTTAGATAATATGTTCTTCTATATTAATATGCGTTTGCTTTAAACCTTATATTATTTTGGGTATTATGTTTTTATCATTGTGCTCTCTTGTTTTATCCCTTATGTTTTTTTGGTAACGGTGAAAAAATATGTTTAATTTTTGTACATATTTTTTTTTTAAAAAAAAAAAATTGAAGTAAAGTATATTGAAAATGATATTTTAATTTTTGAATTTTGAATTTTTGAAATTTGAAAATGAAAGCTTGAATTATATTTGGTAAAAAAAAATCTTAGATAGAAAAATTCGGAAAACTCAATATTTTGAAATGATTTGACATTAAATGCGTGGTAAAAATCAATTGGTAACTATCTATTACCTTTTTTTAAAATTAGTTTCTCTAAACTTACCATGTTCTTTATATTTTAATGATGTGTTCTTTTATAATTTAATGATGTTCTTTACATTTATAAGTTATGTTCTTTCTGCTTTAATCCGGATGTACCATGTGCATGGTACACCCGGTTGTACGAACCAACCATTACTCGGCCGCTCCATTACGAATCATGCAATTATTACTTTTTTTTACTTCGGACAAAGGTATTATTTTTTAAAAATCACGGTCAAATTTAATAAACAAAAAATAGAACAAATCATTAGAGACGAAGAGACTATGAAGCAAAATCTAAGTGCGCACAACGTTCGAATGCATTGATTATTTGCACACGTATCAATTGTGATGAAGATTTTCATGTCTCTGTCGTCAACCTTTGGAGAATTAGAGAATATATTATTGTTTTTGTTTATTCGGTCGTGATCATATTGTTTTTTATCATAACAACAACATTACTTTTCATAAAAACATGAAACACCAATTAACCCTATAAATAGAGGTCGATAGAGAACCAAAAAATTAAATCAACAATCCAAATTCCATATATATTACCTTTCTGATAGAGTGTACAAATCAATCCTAACCTTCAACCATCACAGACAAAAAAAAAAGGTTCGAGTAAGAATAATGATGAGTTCAAGAGTAGCCATATTCATGGCCATGATGATGGTTGTTGTTGTTATCCAATTCCAACCCATTTGCTCTCAAAATGATCCCGAATTCATCATTAGTTGTCTGGATATGATCTCACCGGAATGTTCATCTGATTCATTGGACAACTGCTGTGACGCGCTGATACGGCTAAGGCAGGATGATCGTGGATGCTTTTGTGCCCTATTGTCAACCAATAACCAATTTGGCAACAACGATGAGTTACAATCCCTTAGAGAAGATGCTACAAGCTGCGGAATTTTTCGTCATAGGTTCGGGTGCACCACTCCATAATTCTAAGGGTGTACGTTCATTCATTGCTAATGGAGGTTTTAAGTCATTGATTTGAGTTTGTTTAATTTAATGGGATTGCATTTCTATACATGGTGGTGTATGTGCCAAATGTGTGTGTGAGCGTTTTTTGTTTCTTTTTTGTATTTAATTTGTTGATAAGGAATTACGAGTTTACGACCTTGCTCTTCATGTGTAGTACGGTTGACTTTAATTTGTAATTAAAACCAGTGGCTTTATCAAGGCTACTATATTGGTTCACCTTTATGGTGAGGTATTGAAATATTATTGCATATATATCTACTCCCTCCGTCTCTAAAAGATTGATTTTTATGGGCACTTTTCATGGGTATTAAGAAAGTTAAATAAGAATTAAAGTAGTAAAAGTGCATTGAAAATGTGAGTTTACATAGGGTTTGCAAAAAAGTAGAGAGATAAAGTAATAAAGTATATAGAAAAACAAAATTTACATTGGGAATCTAATTTTGCACAAATATTGTTGCAAATTAGAGGATATTTTATTGCAAATGTGATGATCATTTTGGGACTAAATTTTGGCCATAAGGGTCGAACTTTTAGGGACGGAGAGAGTACTATTATTATAGGTACATATGTATATAAGAATAATGAGATACTTTATTTATCACCAATTGACACACTTTAAGACGTAACTCATGTAGATTCGTTTGAATGCCTTTAAACTCTCTTTACTAACTCCCATTAGGCCATCACATTTACTTTTTAACAAAATAACAATAGATGGATCCAATTAATCAACCCAGCTTTTTTTTCCCACATTTATCTCAGCTCTCAATGCCTGCCACAATCTAACATAAATCAATTATAAATCATATTTATACGCACTACCAATTGACAAAATATAGGCTTCAAAAAAAATAAATAAAAAAATAAAAAATTTGACAAAATATACAATCAAATAATATAAATCGATTATAAATCAAAGGACTTGAAAAATTAAAGCATATTGTTGCAATTGTAGAAAGTTAAAATAGCATACTCATCAAAACAATATCATATCTCCCGGGTTACAAAATTTGATCAAATTTATAGTAGATATTCTTATAATATAATGCTAATTCTACTATAATTTGATCGAATAAAACTGACATACTACATAAAATTGCAACTCTAAACTAAATATCAAATACTACTAGCAATCTTACCGAAAACCATAATTTCCGATCAAAAGCAATTCGAAAAATCGTTTACCGGCAACAACGACGACGGATAAACAATTTCCTTCTGATCAACGACTTCTTGATTAGTCGAATTGGAAGAACAATTATTATTATTATTAATCGAATTAACCCTAGAAGAAACTTGATCACGTAAACCCTCAAGTGAAACCTTCAATTGTTCAAGCTCCGAAAGCCCTAAATTATCAATCGGCTTATCCCACCAAAACCCGAACTCGCTACTATCACCACGTGGACTACTCCCATTGGACGACGATGATGAACCAATAACATGATCACTCCTTTTTTTCTCAACCTCAATATTAGTCAAAACCCTCTTGTACTGCTCAGAAAGTACACCCGTACCAAACTCGTTTCCATTACCACCATTTATTATATTATTATCATTATTTTCGACGCCTCTTGTATAATTAATATACCGACTAACAACTGCATCCGCGTTCGGGTGACCGAACGAGAAGAGCTTCCCAGCACCGGAGAAAGTGATGACGGCAACCTCGGAACCACATAAGGAGCATAACTCACTAGCCTTCTTAAAGAGCCCGCCTCGCCGTTTCGTAAACGTAACTTGTTTGCTTGTTTTGTTTATTATAGGCTTAATTTCAATCTTCTGCTTTCCGGTTTTCTTCTTCATCACTATTGGCTCGACTATGAAATCTTCGGGAAAATTTAGGGTTTGATCTTCTATTCTAAGATCATCCAGGTATTCCTCCATTGTTATTGATTGAAGTGTTATTGTGGGTTTAATTATATCATGCGGGTGTTCACTGAATTTTAGAATAATATAAGCTGTGTATTTATAGAATGTGAGGAGAAAGATAATGAGGAGAGAGAAAGTCGGTAAATATTATATGATGTGTCAGAAAATGTTAACAAGAATATTTTTATTTAAGGGAATAAAATCTTTGTTATTATAGTGTTCGTTAAGAATTCTAATGTGGGTTTCTTGTAAAAGATACACCGACCTAAATGGTTATAACGTATAAGATTCATGGGCTGTATTCGATAATGATAATCAAAAGCCCAACACTTAAATCACATTATATTCTAACTAGCCCAAATTAAGGCTAAAAAAAAAAGTAATAGCTTAATGTAATTAAATTAAAATAAATAAATAAATAAAATTACTCCATTACACAATACATACTTGAAAATCAAGAAATTTTATTGACGATTTTTATTGAGCATATAACAACTTGCATAATCCCATTATCCAACACGGGGGTGTGGAAGATCAACACTACCCCCAGGATTAACATAGATTAAAACACGGTTGCAACAGAAATCAGTAACTGCAATGGTAGAATCTGTTGCCTTAATCACAACCGTCAATTCAGGATTTTCACTTTCAATTAGGGTCTTGGCTATTGTTCCTTCCTTTCCAAGCAACTCTGGCCACTCGTACTTTACCCCTATTCATTCATACATAGTTATATATATACATAAATACAAGAAAATCGATCTATTAGCTCATTCATGATTATAATTTAAATTGATCATAGATTGATGAACCCATTATTATTATTAGTCTGGTCAAGTCTAATATCTTAAGTAACATCGGTTACTAGTAATAATTAACAGCATCTCCAATGGTTAGAGTTGCCAATTCCTAACCTGGCCAGATAAACCAACCAGACTCAACTCGAATATGAAGTTATTGAGAGAACGACCCGAACTAGACCCGAAAGGAGCGGTTAATATATTAATAAAATTAAATTTAAAACTTAATTAAAGACTCATTTAAATTAAATCACAAGCTCATAGTTAACCATATGGGCACAAACTTGTTACAAAGGATCAAAATTAGCTTAAATTCTTAATTATGTGCCATATAAAGTTAATTTGCTAATTAGTTAGTTATCATTGGAGATGCTCTAAAAAATTAAGATTTTTTTTATTTTCAATACGTAGCAAAAAGATTTTAATGGAATTAAAAAGGAATATTGAAAGATTATTTGTGGTTGTAAGAAGTATAGTACATCATGAGACGTTATTTAAAATACAAAGGAAGATTTCTATTATATACTTATTCGAAATAGGTTATTCATATTCATAATTTTGGAAATACAATCATATTTAAAACAAAGTTAATCAATATAATTAAGCACATGGAAGATATCAATAGCTACTAAGTATTTGCCATACCTTGAGTGCAGCATGAAGAATTGTCACAATGCTTAGGATTAGCACAAGGTGGATAGCCCATTCTTAATTGATTTTTTTTTAATAACTCAGTTTTTTGTATTTGGTGTTGTACATTTCAGTGTTCTCAGCTTTATATAATGTCATCAGTCATACAAAGAAGAAATTCACTATTATATTTTTGTAAAAGGAAAAAAATCAGACTTGATATTATTTCTTTTTAGGGAAAAAATCAAACTTGATTAGTTTTTTTAGGGAAAAAATCAGACCTGATTATTTTTTTTTAGGGAAAAAATCAGACTTGATTATTTATTTATTTATTTTTCAGGGAAAAAATCAGACTTTTTTTTTTTTTTAAGGAAAAAAAGTAAAACTTGATTCTTTGCCTTTAACACTTTCTTGTCAATTATTACGCATTAATTTTTATTTAATAATATTGGCTTATATGTATCCAAAAATCACTCACACATCACGAGCATAAAAAACAAGTTACATTTAATGTGTTCACAGTAGTCACAAGACTCCGCCAAGTGTCAATTCTCATAATCCTCTCCCTATAACCCTATTAACATCGTCATGTTGTCACTTGATATATTTGTTAAAGGGCCAACAACTCAAACAATAGCTTAAACTAATAGTTGAACCTCAAGATTACTTTATATACTCTATTACGCATTCACACTCCCTCACATGATAGCCTTTAAATTTGGGCTTAAAATGTAAATGCAACATGGGCTCTCTGCATACCATGCGTGAAATATTCTACTTGAAAGTGAGGTGAATGAGAGTTGAACTATGATCTTTGTGTCACAGTTGGTTTCGATATCATATTAAAGGACTAATTCAACCCCCAAGATTAAGTTAATAGTTGAATCCCAAAATTGGTTTATATACTTTATCAATATTACCTCCGTCTTTATTTTTTTTTACCCAATTGCTTATATATGACTCTAAATTTAAATTTATATTTAACGTTTATGGGTCGGCCCTTTACCATTGATTATATCAGCCCTAATTTTAGGAATAGCCTTTTATTTCCCATCCTTTTTCCTCTATATATTTTGACAGACTCTATTTCATAGTCATATGAAAAAATACTTCACTCTCATCAATCGATCATGTGGTAACATAGTCTTTATTGCAATACCACATAACTTTATTGCAATATTACAACTATATTTTAGGAAACACGAGGATGTGGAAGGTCAACATAACCCTCCGCAGTAATAAAAATCAAAACACGATTGCAACAAAAATCATCAATTGGATCTTCCGAGTCCTTGAGCACAACCACAGGCGTTAACTTTGGATTTTCATGTAAAATGATGTTCTTGGCTTCCGTCACCGGCTTTCCTAGCAACTCCGGCCACTCGTACTTTTTCCCTAACAAAATATTCACGTACTCAATATATACAGAGTTTACATGCATGTACACACGTTCATCAAAAGATCGAGTTATTGCTTATTGTGCGTACGTAGAATAATTAGAATTATAGGCTTTATAGCTATCAAATATATGTGCACATTAAGACCTAATTTAAAAATTATACAAAAAGTCATAAAGTATATCATATACGGAGTACATATATACATACATGTAATATAAAATTTTAAACACTACGAGTATTATGCATATGTGGACATTTTTATAACTCTAAGAAAATCAAATGCGGCAAACAAATAAAAAACAGAGGTGTAGTATTAGACCTGGAAATCCTGACCTAGACCCGATGATCCGAAATTGACCCTACCCGATCCATACCCGACCCGAAAATGGAGTTGACCCAATCCTGACTCGACATCCAAACTGACCCGACCCGAAGTTGACCCGACCCGAAATTGACCCAAAGTGTTTGACCCGAACAGATCCGATACCCAAAATTGACCCGAACAAACCCGATACCCAAAATGTCCCAAACGAATATTACCTTATAATTTAACTTAAAATGTCTTGTACCAAAAGTAACTCAAATTGTTCATCTTCAACCGTAGCTAAGCTCATAAACTGAATTGATAGTTTTTATTATAACAATAACAAAATATATATTCCGTATAAAATTATTCATTTGAGCTTGATTCACAAATGAAACAACCCGAACATGACTCGAGTAGATTTTGACCTGATCTGAACATACTTGTCCCGAAATTGACCCGATTCGAACTTGACCCGAAGTTGACCGAAACCCAAATCGACCCGACCAGAATATTAGCTGGCCTAAAAGTGACCCGACCCGAATGACCCATTTGCCAGGTCTAGCTAGTATTACAATAAAGTCACAAATTATATGCAACACTCCATTTAATTTACTATCATACCCTGAGTGCAGCATTCAGAATCCTCACAGTGCCTAGGATTCAAACATGGTGGGTAACCCATTCTTTGATTATTTTTTATTTATTTTTTTTTAAAAAAAAAAAAAAACTTTCAATTTGTTTTAATTTTGGTTCTCTCTTTGTCTTATATAGTACTCCATATAACGTCATTTAATATCATTCTAATTGAACATTATTGGCCAATTTTAGTCGATCGTCTTGTAAAGGAAAAAAATCATTGGCTAATTGATACCCTTCCATTTTTTTAGATTGGGAGATTATACCCTTAGCTCATCATTAATATCCTTTCATATTATTTACTGAAATAATTTCAATTTTTTTTAATTTTTATGAATATTCTGTTTGATTTATTGACTTAAATTAGACTAAATCATGATCACCTAATAAATTATACTCCGTACAAGTATAATTGACCATATCATGATTTTCTAATAATTATGAAACAAATCTTGATCACTTTAGTAACTTATTAAATTATTGACCAAATCATGATTTCCTAATAATTACTTCGTATTGAACAAATCTTGATCACTTTAGTAACTTAAATTATTGACTAAATCGATCATGATCACCAAATAAAAACGAAAATTTATGCATGTATTATATGAAAATGGCTCGATTATTGACCAAGTCATGATTCCCTAATAATTATTGAACAAATCTTGATCAATTTAGTAACTTAAATTATTGACTAAATCATGATCACCTAAGAAATACGAAAATTAATGCATGTATTATAGCTTTATAGCTCGATATTTCAATGCTTACACTTAAATTTAAATCCGAAATTGGTAGGGGAACATCTTAAAATTTATCTATGCGAAGTAGAGCGAAAATAGGCAAAAGGAGAAGAGAAAAACATTTGACTTAATGAGGCATTGTTTCCAAAAAAAAAAAAAAAAAAAAGAAGGCGGACACATCAATCAATCATCAATAATAATAATAACCTATATACTACGTACTAAAAGACACACCAGCAATGACACGTGTCATTTTCTGGTGTGTTTTTTTTTTTTTATAAATATCCATATAGGAAATAAATCTTATACATAAATAAAAGATTACAAAAGATTTTCCTTCAAAAAACAAAAAAAAAAAAAGTAGAAAAGATTTAATGTATCCTTCCAAATATATATTGATACCATAAACTTCTTAATATAATTTATGACATATGTAGAGTTATGTACTACTTTACCATTAATAAAACAAGGATTTTTTTGAAAAAAAAGATATTTGTATTATTTAATCATGTATGAAAAGCTTGCCAAGAAAGATATGAAAAAATAATTTAAGTCAGTTGACTATTGAGGGAAAAAAAATGCAACATACATAAGCGAGAATGAATAATAGTATGCAAAAAAGAAATCTATTTACAAGCTAAATACACCTTGTTAAGATTTTCATTTAGTTAACAAGAACAAAACGATATAAATTTGTTGGTGAGATATATATAAATATACATACATACGCATTTTAAAGTATCTATTTTGCTAATAATAAACTTTCATAATAAATTCATTTTACAAATTAATAACTTAGCTAGATTTAATTTTTTATAATTAAATATAATGTTAATTAAAGAATATTTATTGAAAATTACCGTACATGGCACAGTTACTAACCTAGTACACGATATGTCTACGCCAGTTTCTTGTATTAGGCTATCATGCTTCATGCATTGTCTTAAAACATGCACATACATTCATGTCTATTAGGCTATCATGCATTGTCTTAAAAGTATGAATAGTAATTAACCAATGAAAAATGCACCAGTACTAATCTAGCTAGATTGTTAACAAAACCAATTAATTTATATTTTAAATTAATAAGTTATGAGAGATACGTATATTGGCCTTTTTATGTGGTCACCTCACCCTCCCTCCCCCTTTGACTTATACAATAGTTATATTTAAACTTAATTTTGCT